ATCGTGGAAATGGATCATATTTGTCGACGATCATTTCCTCGTGAGATGAAATAAAATTAGCGAAAATCAGTTTGTAAGATTAGTTTAATTAAGACCGTCACCACTTCGTTAAATAAATATGGAACATAGAAACAGCGCTATATCACTTCAAAAACAAAGAAAATAACCTAAGAAATTTCATTTTCATGGAAGTGCAAGATTAAAATGTCATGACGGAGAAAACAAAAAACAGTCGATGGCATAAACATTAAGCTTAGGTTTGCGGGTAATTCGCTTATCGTACACTGTTATAAATAGTCATTTAATCTCTCTTGGTCATCTACACTAATCAATAAACATTTTTGTAAAAAGTAATTGTTCTTCACATTTTTTCATGTTCTTCGCATTTTTCTCGTTTTCTTTTCATTTTTAAAGCATATCGAAAGCATTTTCAAGCATATTTAAAGCATGTTTTCTTCACATTTTCTTCAACTCTAGAGCTTGCCAGACCCAAAATTTACATTGAAAACGACGCAGACGAGTTCTCACTTGGTGAAGGAAAGAATTTGACGTTTACCTACAACGTTACGTCTTATCCTGCTGCCGATATCTTTTGGTCGCGTTTGAAATATGATGGATCAACCTATCAGTCACTAACAAGTTGTTCTGCGCATGAAAAACACTGCAAAAATCATGACGGACAAGAAAAAATTACAAGAAACAAGTTCGAAGTAAAGTCTGTCAGATTCCCTGATGACAGTTTAACCTATCAGATAAATGCTAGCAATATAAAAGGAAATGAAATTAAGAAGATTTCAATAAAAAAACTAGGTCAGTCCTGTTTGATATAAAAAGAAAATAAAACTGAAATTTTAGCGTAAAAAACATTTGCATACAAACGAAAGGCAAATAAATGGCACTAGTACATTATGCGCCCTTCTGCACCAAGCAAAACTCAGATTAGAAGCTCAACTTTTAATTCAATAACGGTTTCGAAATTCCAAAGAAAAAATACCAGAAAAACATAGCTATTTAGGTTGTTTTGAAATGTATCATACTCAAAGATTAAGCTTGAGTCATGCATAATATAAAGATCAGTTTTAGTTTTTACATTTATTTTTTCAGTTGTACCTGAAATTGACATTAAAGACACTAAAAGATTTTTAAAGAAAGGATTTTCGGTCCTAAACTGTACGTTGAAGAAGAAATTTGACCTACAAGAAATAACCTTCAAATGGTACAAGTGCCAATCTCATATCTGTCATGATCATAAGAACGAGATGGAATATATTTCATCAAACTATTCTTTAACAGTAAAGGAGGGCAGGTATCGCTGTACTGCCAACAATAGCGGTGAAATAGATACATCACCAATAATAACAGTTACAAAAATCCGAACCAAAGGTACAACCAATGGACAGAAGAAAACAATGATGATGTTGGTCATACCTATAGGCGTCCTCACTCTTGTCATTTTGGTCATTACTTCTTATGTATTGTACAAAGGAAGAAAATTTACGGTGCTTTTATCTCCTTTCTTATCCTCCATTGCCTGACTACATAGAAAAGATTGATATGAATGGAGATATAGTTATAGAGATAGATATATTTTGACGTAGTTTGGATCCGCCACTACATGCCACTGTCACTGATTTTTGTTCTGAATTTTTAACCAGTCTCTGACGTGTTTTTCACTCACTTCACTGTAGCGATTTTACTTTTGGAGTAGTCTTCTTCTGAGAATAATTGCCGACACCATTCCACGACATGACAATGTCTTTGGCATATTACTTGTTTTTTTTATCTTGGTCGAGTTTCAAGAAAACAAGACGACGACTTTTGGAATTTGTTTTATTTTGTATTTCGTAGCTAGCCCAGATTCTTCTGATCAAATAAATAGCTCTTCGTTTACTTAGTGGTATTGGAATGAACTGACTGAACTCCAACTATTGATGTAACGATTATGTATACACGTCAAATGTCGTTATTGTAACGATTGTAGCACAATTCAACATGCTTAAATTTGTAAAAAACTGTGTAACATTTATTTGACAGTTTGAAACATTCACCTTTATAAGAACTAACAATTTCACCACCAACTAGTGCATAATCCAAAACATGAAAATATCTGGAATTTGAAATTCATAATTTAAATTTCATGGCGTATATATAGCTCATAAAATATGGTCTTTATTGTTAAAACTACATCAAGTTTTGAGCTCCACTCAAATATTCAACGTCCTTGAACTAAAATTTGTTCATAGCTATTTTTCAAATATAGCATTAATTCATACAGTATGATAACTACGTGCTGACACAGGCGTTGTTGAAAGATAACATATTGACAAGAAGTGGGGTCAATATTGGTACGTGTCGTAACAACTCGTACATTTATCGAACTTCACTTACGCTTTATTGAGCTTTGATTGTGCTTGTTTACATTACAAATGCACAGTTAAATATACCATACGCCTTACTAAATGCTGTTTTTCCCTCAATGAAGGGCATCTTGGTTTTTGTAACTTGTTTTTCAAACTTAAGCACAGTAATTAGAAACTGGTAAGCATAGCTACTCTCCTGTGGCGGTGGATGTGAGGATGATTGCAACTCTTTTAATTGCTTTGGTCATTAAACAAAGAATTGCCATACTGTAGACCCATTTTTAAGCAGTCAATCTTTGTTAACGGTCACGTGATAAAGTCACAAAAAATTTCTTTGGTCGGGTGACTAAGTCACAAAAATTTTAAAATATAAATATTATTTTAGAACATTAGGAGTAAGCACTGAATACATTAAGAGTGTTCTCAGTTTCCGTCAAGCCCAAAAAAACTAAACTTTAAAAAAATATTTTCTTGAGGATATTTTCTGTCTCATGGGCGTTGGAAATTGCTGTTTCCATGCTCATAAAGATACATACATTGTACTGTATAAAGATATAAACATTGTACTGTATAATGATATGTACATTGTACAATATAAAGATATATACAATCTACTGTATAAAGATATGTGCATTAAACTGTATAACGTTTTAGGTAACACTTATACATAAATTTTACGTCATTCAAATAAAATAAAAATCACGTTTAGAGTCTATATCTTGGTGGCAGGCCTGCGAAACGCTTTATTAAAAGATTTTGATAAAAGTGAAATATTTAATAATGTTCTGAATTTATCAAAAGTTATATCTTTGTCTACATCTTTCTCTTCATCAAAATCTACATCTTTGTCTACATCGAAAACTACATCTTTGTCTTCATCCTTGTCTGCACCGAAAGCTACATCTTTGTCTGCATCCTTGTCTACATCAAATGAAAACTACATCTTACTTCACATTCTTGTCGTCTACATCAAAGCTACATTTTAATAATAATGATGATGATGATTTTGATGAAAGCCTTGAAGTTCTATTCATCTGACGTATAGAATTGGCATAATATAGACACGCAAAGGTCCTAGCTTCTCAAGAAACAAAATTGATTAAGTTTTTCATGTGGACGTTATCTTTGGCGTGCTAACTAAAACAATATATCAAGCAACATAGTGCTTTCGAGCCTTTCGAGCTGAGAGTCTGGGAGTAAGAAATTTTAACTATTATACGGATGCAAACATTGTATTTTTAAATTCTTCCAGCACGTATGTGAAGCTGGAGTGTTTGCCAAATGTTTTGTTGTAGTATTTTGCGCGCAGCATTTTTTTACTGTCCAGTTTTTGCCAAGTTTGAGTGAATGAACATATATTTTGTATGTGCACGCAACAGTAATTCTTATGTAAAAGAAAAACAGATTCCATGCAGACTCCATTATTCATATTCCAGAACCAGATTTCATAAAACAGATTGAAATTCAAGTAAACGAAATTTATTTTTATTCTGCATTATCTGAAGTTGTCTGCTTTTCATGGTTGTTAATACTCATATCTTGTAGAATCACACATGTTTGTGACACATGGTTATTAGACATATATCTAAGAAAATATTCGCGGTATTTTCATGCTAATTCTGATGACTATCTATACTTTGCATGTGCTTTGCGTATTTTGATTAAAGACAACAAGCATTAGCTACTTTGGGCAGATTTAACATTTCATAACATGTGAACCAAGTTTTGTGTTATTATGAATGGACTTTGTGGTAGCTTTATTGTTTATATATTTTGTATTAGCGTTAAACAGTATCTCCGTGGCTACAGTTTCTAATACAAGAATGCATGGTCAAAGGATTTTCTAGGTTCATCCAGGGGCATAGACAAAGGGAAGGCTTAACTCCTCCAAAGAACAGACGTAGTGCCCTAGAAGTTGGGCGAATGGAATGGGAGGGGCGATACGAACATAGTTGAGTACCTATAAGTCTAACAGTAGAACTAAATGTCTTCAGGTATTACTAAGCGTACTCACTTTCGTTTGAGTATTTATTCGCGTAATCCCAGTAGAACATTCTATTGACATATTCACCAAAAAGAATGAATTTAGCATGAAAATACCACGTGTTATAGACGTCTTCAAGATTCTGATAAAAGTAGTGCTATTTAAGGTATTAAATTTACGTCTGTAACGCTCTAATTACTTTGAAAGTCGTCCTTATTCGAAGTACTTTTAACAGTTGCTTTGTATAATTAAACATAAAAATAATGCTTTTTCAGTAACAAATAACTTTCAGAAATCACACTGGAAATTGCAACAGAGGGACATTAGATTTAAAAATTTTCTAAGCGGAGCATGCCCCCTATTAAGGCTCATGCTTTTGGTGTTTGAAAATATGCCCCTCCATAAGTTCGTGTCTGGCTACGCCACTGGATTAAAACGTGTCTGTGTTGCATATCTTGGCAGATTTTACTTACTATATATAAACGCTGCACGCACAATATACATCAACGGTTTAACAGCATTCTAATATTTGTAAATATTAGAACAGCATTCTAATATTTGCACCTCCAACCCACAAGGATTTGCTTGGTCTCTATTTTAAATATCATCCGTTCTTTCCAAACCATTTCAGAATATCTAAAAGATGGCATCGATTCGAAATTAAGTTGCAGTGTTGCTGTTATATGTTGTGTTGACTGACAGCCGTAGGAATGCATCAAAGAATTGTACGAATGATACAAAATGTATGTTATAGAAAATACGGGCAATTCAATATTATTTGTCTTTCTTGTGATACCCCTTTGCTAATTTTATTAATATACTTGCATTCTCTATGCATAAATATAAAGTCTTATCAAAACTTATTATTATGGCTAAAGCTAGAGTAATAACTTAATTTTTTCGCGAGGACTTAGTTTACCACATTTCATTCTTAATTTTGAACAATCACATCAAAACATGAACGCATGTGACTGTCTTATCTTGCACAAATAATGTCATACATGCTCAAAATCATGATGCAAACATGGTTATAATTAAACAAAAAGCAGTGATTGATAAAAAAAAATATATTCAATACAGCAAGCAAAGCCTGCAAGTTTTGTGAAAAGTTTTAAAAGTGAATAAACACTTAAAAGTTTACGAAGAAGAAATTTATAATCGAACAGGGCTTTATTAAGAAAAAACTATACACTTTACAGCTTTTCATCGTGTTATAGTCATTGTTATAGGATGACAAAAAACAAAACTGAATGAAAGAAAAGAACAATAAATGTTTTTTTTAAGTTTGTATGTATAGGCTTTGCAAAAGTTTTAGTTTAAGCTTTGTTTGTTGAATGCATTTTTTCATAAAACCTACTCCAATCTAGAATTGATCAAACCAAAAATTTATATTGAAAACGACACAGAGGTGTTCTCATTTGATGAAGGAAAGAATTTGACGTTTCTACAACGTAACGTCTTATCCTGCTGCCGACATCTTTTGGTGGCGTTTAAAATATGATGGATCCAACGAGCAGATTTAAACAAGTTGTTCTGCGGCTGAGCAACATTGCAAATATCATGACGGAAAAAAAATTACAAGAAACAAATTTGAAGTAAAGTCTGTCAGATTCCCTGATGATAATATAACCTACAAGATCAATGTAAGCAATATGAAAGGATATGAGATCAAGAATATTTCAATACAAATTCTCGGTTAGTCCTGTTCGAAAAAGTATTTGAGGTAAATGAAATTAAAATTTTAAGGTGTGTTTTAGTTTTTTATATTCAGTTTTTTAAATTTTTAGTTAAGCCTAGCATTGAAATTTGAAACGAAAATATAGTTTTGAAGAAAGGATTTTCGGTGTTGAAATGTACATTAAACCAGAGACATTACCCAAAAGTAACCTTCAAATGGTTCATCTGCATATCTGATACCTGCTACGACGACAAACATTGGAAATACATTTCATTCAACTATTCTTTAAAAGTACAAAATGAGGGCAGGTACCGCTGCAGTGCATGCAATACAGGTGGAACAGCTATATCGCCAACAATAAACGTCGTCAGGGATATGTCAACAAAACTAATGTTGTCAAAACAACAATCACACAGGCAAGTCTTCTTTATCAATGTCGCAGAATTTGAGGTCGTCCAACAATATAATCTGCACTATGACTTTTTTAATGATTGTGTTTTACTGACAAAGAATAAGCAAATCGCAACATATTAAAAAATCTACAATCTAAGCTTTTCATCTGTCACAACTGATCACCAATACCTAATTGCACTCCAACCTACATTCTATCACCATATTTATAATTTTTATGTATAAAATTAGATATCATCTTACATCAATCATGGCAAAAATATATTGTTGTTGTTTTTATCTTTACTAAAGAAGCTAAATGCAAAAATCGCTTAAATAAAAGCATGTATTAACGTACTTATGCTTATATTTACCAGAGCCCCCGATGATCATGAAATTTATTTTATATATCAATCTTGCGTTTTGTTGACAGCTTGCAGATTATATTTTTAGGTCGTTGAATTTGTCTATAAGCAGTATGATTGGCAAGATAAAAGTTGCAACTCTTCAACAGCATCAAAAACTATTTTTTTACAAAACTTCAGTACTCTCGAAATGAATGATTCATACGTGACTCAGCCATAAAGTATTTTTCTATTTATGTAGTAAACATTGCCAATATACAACAGTCGACGAATGTTGATATTTGTCATATCTACTGGCGTCCTCACACTCGTCATTTTGGCGATCACATCTTATGTATTTTACAAAGGAAAAATATTTACGGTGGTTTTATCTTCTTTTATCCTCCATTGCCTGACTACATTAGAAAGATTGATATGAATGGAGACATACACGAACAAATACAAAAGCTTCCATTTTACATGAGTGGGAGTTTCCTAGAGAAAATAAAATTCAGTAGTAATCCCATGGATACATTTCTCTCATCAATTTTTTTATTCACCGCATTCGTCGGTTCAAATGCAGGATAATTTTTGGTAAGAACTCAAATTTTACAAGCCTTGTCTGCATTAATTTACAAGGCTTGTAAAATTGAGTTCTCCAAAAATATCCTATTGATTGATGAATAAAATTGATAGTATCCATGGGATTACTTACTGAATATTTTATATTTTTCTCTATAGCTTTAAGTAATGTAGATTGCCGTAAGCTAAAAACGTAGGTATTTAACTTTTCTTGACTAAATGATAAATTTGTTGATAACATTGATGTTTTATGTAGTAAATAAACCTGGGTCTGGTGAATTTGAGGTAGTTTGGCTTGCAGAGGTAGTTGGTATCTCGTCATTTCATCCTAGAGACATCCTGAGAGACAAAGAAAATCAAAGAAGGTTTTCGTCTTTTAAAAGAAATTATATTATTAAAGTTGCAGTTAAGAAAACCAAAGGCTTAGTTGCAATAATGTATTATTAACATATTTAATTATTCATATTTTATACGTTTTATGCTCATGTAAGTAGCATTATTTTTTGTTTCATGATTTTAATGACAAAAAAAGATTGAGAAAACACTGATTAAATACGTTTTTTGTCGACAAGGAAGGTGAATTTTTGAGCTACTCGTTATGATATTACGATTCAACGTCGTATTAAACTACGACTTTTCCCTTTACAAGTGGAATTGCATAAAAACTGATTAAAAATATGAACTGAAATGATGCTACAAAGAAAATTGTCCTTTAATACAAATTTTTATTTCAAAACCATCATCAGACAAAATGAAAATGATCCTTTCTCGGATTGTGTTTTATTTTATAATAACAACGCTACAGAGAGTATGTGTCAAACAAACTAAATGGCTACGTGGGCTAGCACTGACATGCTGACTTTTCGGCATGAAATGAGGTCAATATTGGTACATGCTGCGTTAACCCGATCGTTTTTTAAAGTATTGCAAATTAGATATTGTCATCATTTGGTTGTATACAAGTTGCAGTGTGGGACGTGTACATAAAACAAAGTAATAGAAAATCGTCGGTAGTCGACATTGGCAGGTTCATCTTTCTGAATCCAGTAGTGGTTATCCCCAGTACAGGTATTTATTGTAATAACTTTGGTTTATATAATAGTTTCTTGAAAGAATTGGCTGCTGAAGACAGGGTCATTGTCTTGTCAAAATTACCCCGGTTTAACTTAAGGGCATCGCTTTCATCCATTTCCAGCCAGCGATAATGCAACTGACCGTACATTACGCCTGGGAGACTCGAAGTGAGAGTTCCCAAAACCCGAGAAACATCCCTCATTTTTGGGTGAAAAGCTTGTAGCAGCTCATGACACATGCGTTTATCTTCTCAGCTCGTTCTGTCGTAACAGATATTCGCATAAGAATTTATTTGAGTCGGAAACCCAAAAAAGTAATTACTTGTGAGGGAACTAAAACTGACTTATCCGGATGTACGTAAAACCTTACTTTACTAAATAAGAAGATGGTATCTTGAATATTCCGAACACATGAAGCATATGTGTCAGCCAAGTATCACCAAGTATCAGCCAACCGAAATATGTCCTTTTTGACGTAAATTCAAAAAAACAGGTTTAAGGAGTTTTGCAAATTTTCTTGGGCAGATGGCTAGGCCGTTAGGAAAACAGACAAATTTATATAGTTGCCCTCTCCACCAAAATTTGAGGAATTTTGATATGCTGGGTGAATAGGTACGGAATAGTAAGCATCTTTGTGATCGATGGATGCCATGAAACAATTTGATTTCGTAAGCCTAATAGCTGACCAAACATACTCCATTTTAAAATGGTGATATCTGACATGCCTGTTTAAGGATTATGGATTAAGAATCATGCGAAAAGAACCGTCTTTTTGGGGGCAAGTGAAAATTGGAGATACAAATTCCCCTGATTCAGGGTGAGAAATCTGCAAAACGTCTTTTTTGCGTAATTTGCTAATTTCTAAATCAATATTGTTCATTTCAACCTCTGGTAGCTGTTTTTGCTTGGGTAAGACTCTTTATATCGGAATTGTGTCAAATTCAATTTTTTGTCCAGACACTGTCTCTAAGATTCCCTTATCAGAGGTGAGTGTTTCCCATGCACTTAAAAAAATTGATATGCTGCCAGCCTGATAGTTCTCCAAGCTTTTATTCAAATACGCTATTAGCGTGGGTACAAAAGAAGAATACTGGTTTACCTGTAAAGTCTTAAAATTTCTTAAAATTCAGTGTTTCTATGTTTAATATGATGGGTTTTTAAACTTTGTTCTAACTTATTTTTCATTTTGACTTTTGCTTTTTGCCACCTTTCATGATGGCGTCCTTGCCTCACCTTGTCAAGGTAGTTAGACATCTAGAAGATTGGGTTCTAAATCATTAGTCATGCATTGTAAGTAGTTTTCCTCGAAGACAAATTGCAAGTCATTACTTATTCTGCATTGAATTGGCAATCGCATCTCCTTAAGTTACCTAATTACAAGGACATTTCTTTGACGATGATATTTCTCTATTTAACTCATTATTGAAGATAAACATGATCTGATTACAAAGAACTTCAATTACCATTGCTGTTTGTTGCCATTAGAATAGTGCAATTGTTAAACTGTTTTTCCTAATCACTATTAATTTTAAACATAGTCATAAACAATTTGGTTTTGTGAAATTTATTAAAATAGTGACGTTTCGTCTTGATTCAAGACATCTTCAGATTAATAAAGAAGTTAACAAGAATTATAGATATATATAGAGTTATTTACATATATAGAGTCATTTACATATCTATGCAGCTGGTTTTACTTTTTCCTTAAAGATGTTCAAATTGAATTTCATACTAAAATGGCTCTATAGATGCTTTTGAGCATCTAAAAGTATTCTTGAACAAGAAAGCAGAAGTTGCTCTCTAATAACATGTCTATTCTCAATCTATACATTAGCCAAAACCGCTGTCCGAGAGATGCTCTTAGGTCTTATTCAAACATGACTGGAGTTTAGTCATTTACGCTGATCTTCGGTTAGTTTAAACTGTCTTTCAAATTCACCAATAATAATAAGTCTTTAGATCTTTGTTTGTTGGAAATTTGATATTGTTTCAGAGTGCTTCCGTAAAATAAGTTGTTAAATAAGAATATGTCGTGTTATCCTTTAATGTTTTAGCTTATGCTTAGTAGATCATACGCCCCTGAAGAAGTCAGTTAAATTTTCTACAAACTGTAGACAGTAAAACTATAGGTATAAACTCTATTTAAATATATCATCTGGTCAAAGTTTTGCATAGAACACCAAGATACGCACAGCTGTTGAGCACAATGCGCAACAACACTCACGTAGGCTTTAGCGCATGGTCTCTATTTCCTTAAACACTCCAAGTGTCATTAACATCACAACCATTCGTAGATCGTTCGTAAAAAGCTTTCTCGTCCTTTTCATGATATTTCAGAAAACCCAAAGATGGCTTTGATCCAAAACAATGTAGCAGTGTTGCTGTTATATGTAGTGCTGATTGAGAGCTGTGCAAGTGCACCCGAGAATTGTACAAGGAATATAAAATGTAAGTAATAAGATATTCTTATTAGGTCTATCCTTATTTGGCTTTATTCTCAACATGTTCCTTAAAATCAACTGCTGAACAAAGAGCTGTATAATTAAGCCTCATAACAACATTTATTATGTATGATGGATCTAAGACTAAACCAAGTCGTAAATTATACCTTAAAATAACGTTTAGCGTTGCAGTAATGTAGAAATATACTGATTTGGCGAAGAGTGCTGTGAACAAAGTAGAAAACCACTGTAAAACTTCTTCTGGCGTTTATATTGAGAACGTCGATTCTGCAACCAGTGAATAACAGACATCGGTAAAAATCATATGATTGGCATAACATTTTTTGACATTTCGTCAGCTCACATTTTGAAAATTAAATTAGACTGATATTATTAATAAGCAATGCAACAACTCTGAATTCTGTTTTCTGACTTGATGGCGACGGAGCAAGCTCATATTAATTATCATTTCATCTTTTGCCTTTCGTCAAAGGGCATATGACGTGAAACTTGTGCTATTGAAATGATACATTCATTAAACATAACTTTCAAAGTGAGAGTGTACCTTTTACAACAGTTTGTTCGCGTCACTAATCGTTCTCAAGATATTCTAGTTTATGTAATAACTGCTTTACACAACTAGTGACTTCACATTGCACGATGAGAATTTTAAATAGCAGGTACCAGTGAACTCTATTAAAAGATTGGAACATTAACTCCAATACATTGAACTAAAATATACCTAGAACGACAACTCCCATAGTTTTGTCCTATGCTTGTCTGAAGCCAACATACATCTAAGATTTGTCAAACTTCTCCCTGAAATAATGCCTTTTTTTCGGCGACCGATGTTTGTTTACCTTCTTTCCAGAAGAAAAACGTGAAAGAAGTGATTTAGTGTCGTTTTTTGGCTCATATTGTGCTTTATTGCATCTAACAGAATTAGCTCATGCTACAGCAAGATATTTTCGAAGGAAAAATATCCAGTTACGTTATAAAAAAAAACACATTTAAACACGCTAGTTTGTTGTTAAGCTTAAAGTGTATAAAAATTTTTTGTTGTCTTAGATAAAATATCTCCAAAAACTGCAATGGACTCTTTTTTTTAACATTCATGATTGCATGCTTTGTTTGGGATGTATGTTCAGTTGTTTCCTAATCACTATAGGCTTCATTCATACTAACCAAACAAGTACAACACAAGCAGGTTTGTAGCGCAACAACAAAATAAAACATGATTTTAAGATACTTAAATTAGGAAACGATCGACAGAACATAAATTCTTCAATTTTTAAAATATTTCATAGCACAAATACATTGCACATATACAGCTTTCATTATACAGAATAAAAATGTTATAGAAAATCCAAAAAACGCACAACACATTCAACAACATAGTTGTATAGTTTGATGACATCGTTTGAGCAAATGATCAAAGGAAACGTTTAAAAAGTACAATGTACAACTGGTGTACAGCTGTACTTTCATGATATTTTTTTAACGAATACTGCATGAATCCGTTTTAAAGGTAATATCGTGGTTCGGAGTGTAGAAGAACAATGTTTCGAAATTGCCAACAGTGAAATTTAATCTATAACATGAAGTTCCTAAGGTTCTTCTTTTGTGAAACTTTTATGATTATATATGACTGACATTTTTTTACAAATTACAATTTGATTTCCTTCTATGAATTTATTAAGTGTTGTTTTGCTGGGGCATTTAGCTGGCATTTCATTAACTGAAGATGCAAATAAGCCCCTTTTTGTAAAAGTATTATATCTTTTACAGTTGTATCGGAATATCTACGTCAGCTACGCAGGCTTGTTAGTGAATGGGTGCTTATTAATTGCACAGTTAATTACCATGACATTAATGTTCAACTTTTGGATGAAAACGAGAACCTTTTACATTCTGAGAACAAAAACATTAAAATTGTAGTAAAAAATATCTTCAATGTGACAAAAGTAACACGAGACATCAAAGAGTACATCTGCAAAGCTTGCAATGAGAAAAGAACTATACTTGTCATCCCTGAAAAAAGTTGGTATTTTGTATGTTTTTAGATACTGTTTATTTAATACCTTCTTGGTTACACGAGTGTCATTACCGAGAAACGTGGTAAATTAAACTATAATGTTTCCAAAATCATGTTTTAAAATAGTTTTCGCAGAGTCTTATATCATTTCTACAATGTGATATTGCCAATTTCAATGATTTGAAAACAAATTAATATGAGCAAGTGAGTTTGAATACATTGATCTGTCTAGGAATTCATAGGCCCCTTTGTCTTTTCTACAGGTGTGCCATCCTATGCGAATCCTTCAATTACGGTAGAACCAAAAAAAAATGAATATGATCTTGGTGACACGGTTTCGCTAGATTGCAATATTGCTGGTATTCAATTCATATATGCTTCCATATACTATAAATTTTTTTGGAAGAAGAATGGAAAAAACAAAGAAAAATGTGAAACAAAAAGCTGTAAAAAAACACTTGATATTACCGCAGAATCTGAAGGAACCTACTTATGCTTGATAGAAAGAAACTATGTTAATTATAAATCATACAGAAGCTTTTCTTTGAAAGTCAAAGGTAATTCCATTGAAGTAAATGAAAAGCCGTTTTCTGGTTTTTTGAGTTCTTATTTCTCAAGACTTCAGTGTGTATCAAAACGTATACTCTAGGAAAAATTCTCTAAAACAAGACGCGCGTGGAATAAGCAAAGACGTTTGGTTATTATGAGTAATTTAAAGTTCGCTGGTACAGCTGGTAATGAGATTTTTTAAAATGCGAGATATTTTACGAGTGAAACAACCGATATTAAAGTCTTTAAAAGACAGGCCATGCCCACGAAATATACTCATCGTAAAAACAATTTTATCACACTGAGTAAAAATATGGCCTGTGTTTTACAAGCTTTCAGACAATTTTTCCAACCTGAATGCACCTGCGTACAAAACTATTAGATTGTTTTTTTCAACAATAGTATAGTGGGCTTGAAATTCAGCCACAAATGGAAGAGTCAAGGAACTCGTGTTGTATAAGAATAGGCTTCCGATAAAACGCTTTAAACACAACTTTTGAATTAGTACAAAGCAAACTGCTCTAAAATAGCCCAAGTCACAGCGAACCCTGAAATATAGCCACAGATGAAACCACATCAAAGTTCAGGCAATCTTTCATTGATAAGCAAGGTCATTTGATATACTAAAAACAAAAAAGAACTAAATGAACCATCAACTAAACCACCATCTAAAACGTGTAAATTCCGTTGCCTATACTGCAGAATTCTAGCACCATAGGCACTTTGAACAAATTTTTCAAGACGACGGGAAATATGTGTTCTATTAAACTGACCCAACTCTATTCTAACTATGCAAAGTTTGTCTTGTAAGTGACACAAAGGGAAACAAATCCTCTTCACAGTGCCTATAGAGAAAAATCAAATAATCTAAATATACCGGAAAGTGCCCAGAGGACTATTTTAACATCGTGAAAATGGATCATATTTGTTGACGATCATTTCCTCGTGAGATGAAATAAAATTGGCGAAAATCTGTTTGTAAGATTTCATAAGACATTTAATTGAGACCGTCACCACTTCGTTAGAAGAAATCTGGAACATGGAAACAGCGCTATATCACTTCAAAAATAAAGCAAATAACCTAAGAAATTTCATTTTCATGGAAGTGCAAGAGTAAAATGTCATGACGGAGAAAACAAAAAACAGTCGATGGCATAAACATTTAGCTTAGGTTTGCGGGCAATTCGAGGTTTATTCAAACTACGTTGCTTTTTTACAATTCGCTTATCGTACACTGTTAAAATAGTCATTTAATCTCTTGGTCATCTACCATAATCAATTAACAATTTTGTAAAAAGTAATTGTTCTTCACATTTTTTCATGTTCTTCGCATTTTTCTCGTTTTCTTTACATTTTTAAAGCATATCGAAAGCGTTTTCAAACATTTTGAAAGCATGTTTTCTTCACATTTTTCTTCTTAACTCTAGAGCTTGCCAGACCCAAAATTTACATTGAAAACGACGCAGACGACTTCTCACTTGGTGAAGGAAAGAATTTGACGTTTACCTACAACGTTACGTCTTATCCTGCTGCCGAAATCTCTTGGTCGCGTTTGAAATATGATGGATCCAACTATCAGTTACTAACACGTTGTTTAGCGCTTGAACAACACTGCAAAAATGAAGACGGACAAGAAAAAATTACAAGAAACAAGTTCGAAGTAAAGTCTGTCAGATTCTCTGATGACAGTTTAACCTATCAGATAAATGCTAGCAATATTAAAGGAAATGAAATTAAGAAGATTTCAATAAAAAAACTAGGTCAGTCCTGTTTGATTTACAAAGAAAATAAAACTGAAATTTTAGCGTACAAAACATTTGCATACAAACGAAAGGCAAATAAATGGCACTTGTACATTATGCGCCCTTGTGCACCAAGCAAAACTCAGATTAGAAGCTCAACTTTTAATTCAATAACGGTTTCGAAATTCCAAAGAAAAAATACCAGAAAAACATAGCTATTTAGGTTGTTTTGAAATGTATCATACTCAAAGATTAAGCTTGAGTCATGCATAATATAAAGATCAGTTTTAGTTTTTACATCTGTTTTTTTCAGTTGTACCTGAAATTGACATTAAAGACACAAAAAGATTTTTAAAGAAAGGATTTTTGGTCCTAAACTGTACGTTGAAGAAGAAATTTGACCTACATGAACTAACCTTCAAATGGTACATGTGCCAATCTGATATCTGTCATGATCATAAAAACGAGATGGAATATATTTCATCAAACTATTCTTTAACAGTAAAGAAGGAAGGCAGGTATCGCTGTACTGCCAACAATGGCGGTGAAATAGATACATCACCAATAATAACAGTTACAAAAAAATCCAAACCAACAGGTAAGCCTTTCATTATTATCGATCTTCTGTTTGTCATTGAAATTTGTGCATCGGCACATTGTCTCACTTGATCTTCATTACGATTTCGTTGCCATACATATATCAATGCAATTGTGTTGAATTAATGCAAAATCATCAAGACTTTCATAAAATTTTACAGTTGAACGAAAACCATTTTAACAAAAGAGTATAAGTACTGAGCAAGGTACTTTTATACAGCAGCATCAAAACCTATAATTTAAATAAAATCTTTATTGCTCGCAAACAACTGTTGATACATTTAACCACATCGTAAGTGACTTTTTATTTGTCAAGTTTCACATTTGTCAAGTGGCAATGGACAGAAGAAAAAAATGATGATGTTGGTCATACTTATAGGCGTCCTCACTCTTGTCATTTTGCTCATTACTTCTTATGTATTGTACAAAAGGAAGAAAATTTACGGTGGTTTTTATCTCCTTTCTTATCCTCCATTGCCTGACTACATTGAAAAGATTGATATGAATGGAGATATACACGAGCAAATACAAAGTCTTCCATTCATACCAGAATGGGAGTTTCCAAGAGAAAGAATAAAATTCAGTAAGTTATTTCTAAGCTTAATTTTATCTCAAACTATGTCTGCATTTAGTAGCATGTCTTGTTTTCAATAACTAAAAGTAATAGGCGTTGTTCTCATGAGCGACAACTTTTAAATTTATCATGTGATATACTCACATCTTTGTTCTGTAATATTGATGTTTTATGCAGTAAATGAACTTGGGTCTGGTGAATTTGGGTGGTTTGGCTTGCAGAAGCAGTCGGTATCTCAGCATTTCGTCCAAGGGATATCCTGAGAGAGAAGTCGAAGAAGATTTTCATTTTTTAACAGAATGGTCAAAAGAAACAGTTACGTGTACAGCAGAGAAGTTACTAAAGTTGCTGTGAAGAAAATCAAAGGTTTCGCTGTTATAAACATTTTCATTAAGATTATTATTCATAATTTTATGTTTCATTGCATGGTTTTAATGAAAAATATAAGATTGAGCAAACACATAAAAATTAATACGTTTTTGAATACAAGCGGAAGGAATTTACTTTTTTCTAGGTAGCAATTTTATACACAATTTAAAGACTTTATGTATACGATACCCTGCCTGCAAGTTAAAACCTAGTAAAACTATTATTTGAAATATTATCAGTCTTTATAGATAGATATTTATATGGCAAGTTGGGTTTTGCAAAAAAAAGGTCGATTTTCCTTTTGATGATCGTAAGCATACATCAACATTTAAGGTTAATAACCTTGATAGCTAAGTCTCAGTTTTTAATTTAATGATTTTTATTTAGATGATGGGGATCGAAACAAACTCATTGATTTGCAGTCAGAGTTGAAAATATTGATTCATGTTGGTGAAAATGAAAACATTGTAAACATATTAGGAGCTTGTACAAAAGGTTGTTTATATTTTGAAGCGGGGTATTTGTTGAGCACTAATGACCATTCACACTTTTGAGGCTGATTATTGAACTAAACAATAATGGGAAAAATATACGTTCATTTCCTAAATGGAGTGAAGTTACGTAATTTAAGTAAAGAATTATGATTGGAAAATGAAAAGTCATGTTCACACATGAGAAAGTTCCCTCACATAACGGCTTGAAAAATATCCCAACGAATAACGATGTGACGAAAAGAACTTAGAGAGTTTCCTTTTTTGGGAAACCTACATGTATGTGCATCCACTGAGAAAGATTTTTGCATTAAATTATTTTATTATAGGTGAAAGAACAAGTTTGTGTATTATTACGGAGTTCTGTGAACACGGAAATGTTCGTCAATTTCTCCGTGACAGTCGAAACAGATACAATCAAGACAAGGAATACATGATGAACGATTTATCACTAGATTTTGGACCACAAAATCTGATTCAATGGGCGTATCATATCATACAAGGCATGGAATTCTTAATATCCAGGAAGGTATAATAATATAAACCTACACCTGGGCAAGGAGGTGTATTGTAGGTATGATAGCTTTGTATGTATATATTGTGTTAATGATGGAGTAGGAGGACAAATAGCGATAGCTTAAAGGAAGAAAAAAATGAGCAAAATCACGAGAGAGATTTTTGAACAAAGACGAACGTGCCAGTTTATATTTCTGGGTTCTTCAACTGTACAATTCTAAGCTTAAGATTTTCATTTGCAAGCATTAACAAACTTAAAGATAAAGGCTCAATCGAAGTCAAGTTGTCGAATACTCAATTAAAGAAAGTTTTTGTTCGTCTCTATGGGTGTTAAATAAGATTTTTGTTGCTTTGTTTGAAATTTATTTGATGTACATAACGTACTGTCTGACCGCTGAAAATAAGACAACATAAAATAACTAACAAAAACAGGTTTTCACTACAGAGTTCAACTGAAAGAGTTTAGAGAGAATTTTATTTCAATGCACGAATTTTCAAAATAAATTTGTTTTGTTAAACCAACAGATCATTCACCGGGACCTGGCTGCTCGTAACATTCTACTTGGTACAGGTTACATAGCCAAAGTTGGAGACTTTGGCTTGGCAAGAGATATTTACAAGTATCAAGTTTACACGAAGAACACACCGGTTAGTGCTTGCATTTGAAACACTAGCTTTTTGTGAGATCATTTTGGCATTATTCTTCAGTTCATGATAACAACCCTTGATGATAGGGATTACTTCCTTTGAAGTGGATGGCAATTGAGTCAATCAAGGATTCTGTTTACACGGAGAAGTCTGATATGTATGATTTGCTTATTTAAAATATCATATATTTTCACTTTTTTAAGTTTACTAACAATTCTACATAATTGATTTAGGTGGTCGTTTGGAGTAGTTTTATTTGAGCTGTTTACCCTAGGTAAGCTTCTATAAGCACGTAAGAGAAAAATAATGACAAATAGGGAAATTGACTAATGACTGATGATGGAAACTAGTGAAATTCTTAAGGGCGATGAAAGATGAAAGAGATTATGATACTAGGAAGTATATACAAAATGAGATTTAAAGCTAAATTTTAGCTGTTTAAATGTTTGAGAAGGGCATGAGCGTGACCACCCACAAAAATCATTCTCGGTTCAAATAAGTGTTGCTTGTACAACATGATTTAAACCTTCAAATGTCTTTCAGGTGGGACACCGTATCCCGGCTTACATGTCAGTGAAGTATATGCCCATTTGCTTAACGGAAATCGAATGGAGCCACCCATCTACTGTCCTGACATCATGTAAGAGAATATTTAATACATCTTTCGTCAGTTTTTTCACAATATTTCTTAAAATATAATGAAAAAACTATGTTCCGTGCGTCAATAAAGCAATTCTTGTTGCTAAGTTTACAATTATCTAACAATTGCATTACGAGCTCAACATTTCTATGAGGTAATAGTTGATGAGGGCAAAGCCCGAATCATTTATCGCATCATAGAAATCGAGAGCGAGTACTCTAATTGTTTTAGTAGAGTCATACTGGTATTCATAAACAAAAGTAAAGGTAGTAATAGTTCTCTTTAACATTTTACGCATTTCTACTGCTACATATTGCTTATACCAAAAAGCCAGTGACCCTTGCTCAATGCATTGTTAGTTATTTTAATTTTATTTTTTTTGTTATACCTTATCTTAGCGTTGTATTAAGTGGCAAATTAGTCTTCTCTAGAATTCCTTTCTCAAGTAAAACGCGAGACACCAAGGTCGGCAGCCATATTTTTCGCTACTCGCTATATATTACTTCGCTACTCGCTATCAATTTTTCAATTGTGAGTAGCAAGACAATCAAATTAAAGTATTTGCTATAGAATACTATTATGATTTTATATATAATCAGTGTTCTAAAGAGGAGGTAATCTGACTTCAATCAGCTGGTGTGCATAAATTACTGAAAAAATAAAGTTATTTCTTCATATCAGGAAAGACAAGTATTCCAGCTATCGAATATCATGTTGTTTGTAGTGTATAGAGAGAGGGGGGTGATAAGCAAATGCGAACACGTGTTAAAATCTTGGCCTACCCCGTATTTTATTTCCAAAGAAAAACAAATTATTGACAAAAAGTGTCATAAACAAACTTTGATAATTAATACACTCATCATCCTAAAACCTATTTACACACGATTATTTGAAATGTTACAAAACTTCTGCCAATGCAGGCTGACGTCGGCGTAGCCTTGCTTGGAGTGTTTTTCTCATGCATTCGATACGTTCTCAGCAAGATTAACCAGAAGGATGGTGTAAAATTTGCTTATCAGGGATATCCAAAAGAAAAATGTCATAGGGGGTCAGCTATGGGGATCGCAGATTATAATGTTTAGTTATGACACGATGATCAAGCAGCTCTCGCAAACGATCACGGATTGCAATTAATCAATGTGACAGAGCATTATCTTGCACCCATCAGACACTTTAGAAAGTTCATCACTTTGGTTATGAAAATGCTTGGAATCATGCCATTGTTAACAACCCATTAGGGAAACTCTAAGCATAGCCTTCAAGCAAGAGTTGATAGCAAACAATTATTCGTTATCATAAGTAACATCTTAACATGCAGCTTTTTCATTCGGTGGGGGTGGGGTGGGACTTTAAATATAGGTTGTTGTGTCCAAGTCAAGATTATTTTCATATAAAAACTCTTTTAAAGCATAAGCGGTTAGATTCTGATGACGATGATAAATAGAACTGAAATAAAGTGGATATGAATGTGAATCAACCTTATATATTTGCAGTGCTGATTTGATGAAGAAATGTTGGATTGAAAATCCACAACTTCGTCCAACATTTGAAGAAGCGAAAAAAATGGTAGAAAAAAATGTCCCGACAATTTCATCCAGTGAAAAAGTGAAGGTAAATTATGTGATACAACAACGAACTACATTAAAAAATGGTTGATGAAAGATAGCATTTAGTTTCTTCATGTAGCGTTCTACCATACGAATATCATAGCAAAAGCATTTTAAAATCAGCTTCATAAATTGTATTACTGAAATGAATGCTGATGAATGCTGATGGTAATCTGTTACAAATTTTGATAAGGATATGCAAATCTTATGACAACGATAAAATGTTTGATACGTCAAAAGATGTGATGAGTTAAGACTGCCTGTTAGATCTGTAATCTTAATCGGGTGACAGCACGTGTCCAGGCGGGCGGTTGTTTATCGATAAGTTGTAGTTTTAGTTTGCACACGGAACCTTTACAACTTTTTGATCACCAACATTTAATTTATCAAAAACGAGTGCTAAGTCCGTGTGTGATGATAACGAACCACAGCCCGATGAAAAGAGCCTGAGAGTAACTAGATCAGCTCCTGCGCTTAGCGTGAAGTCTCGGTAGAGTATGACTGGGCTAGAAAGGGATAAACTACACCTGCGATCGGAGCAACTAAAACAGAAGCAGTTGTTAGAGCAAGAGGCTCGTATCGTTGAGCTAGAAATTGCCAAAATAATTTGAGTTGGAAGAGAAACAAGTGTTGTCAGAGCTTGCCGAAAGAAAAGAGCTGTTGGACATGGAAGCTAGGCTAACGGAGGCTGAAATTGACGAGCGTTTCGAAACTGACAGCGAGAAATGTTCGGAAGCAGGTTTTAATGAGATGCGTGAAGCAGAAGTACGCGAATTTCGAAGTGAAGGATAACGTGAAGCAAATAATTTCAAATATTACGATCGGTTATGCAAAGTCATGGTCGAGCTAAGAGACTTTATGAATCGTTGTTTTGTGAAGTAATAAGTCGCAGTGAATTGCTTGAAAGAATAAGATGTCGATATGGGAAGCAACACAACATCTACGTTTCATCATCAAGTAATTCATGTGCTGATAATCAACGTAGCAATCTACGAGTTATGTCACATAATCCAAATTAGGATGACTACATAACCCAAAAAGATTAGTATGAATATCAAGAAGAGGCGAGTTGTACTAATCCAAACATACACCAGCAAGGTTTCTTAGGAACCCAACACAAAATACCCTTCCCAACCATGCGAGTCATCCTGTCACTAAAGGTGAGCGGTCGTCAGCACAAGCTGAAACATACCAAATTCCAACATTCCAAGACCATCAGAATCCAAATCTGCAGATGCTCAGACTGGTCATTGCAGAAAGACCAATAACATTAACATTCCAAACTTGGAGGGTCCTGAAGTAACGATACTTATCGGGACAGACGGAAGTAACTGGAAACTGGAAGAAAGGAGAGGTAGGCAATCATATGCGATAAGAACACCTTTAGACTGGTCGGTTGCTGGACCAATGAAGCGAATTACTCGTAATGAAATTAGTAGTTTCTGTGTTTGGACCGGTGACAAATATAAAATAAAAAAGGTTGATCAGATGTTCAATTTTCACTTCAGCCAATGACTATATGATGAAGAGCAAGCAATGTCTCAAGAAGATATAAAATCATACCAGATGATGGTCAATTCAGTTAAAGTTGTGAAGAATCACTATCAACTCGATTTGACTTTTCGAGAGAGAACGCCTTTTCTAGATAATCGACCTATGGTCAAAAGGAGAATGACGTCTCTCAAATTGTGCTTTAGAAAGGATAAGGGGCTACACAAAAAATACACATCTGGAATTAGCAAAAACATAATTAAAGGTTATGCTGCCAAAGTCCCGGCTACGGTTAAAGGTTATACCTCGATTGGAGTCAACCGCTGCTGTAGTTGTTGCCAGACAACATCGAAAAATCCAAGAAGAGCTCGGCATAGATGTTCATAAGGTCATATTTTGGACAGATTCAACATGCGTCCTTCAATACATCAAGAATGAAGCCAGCCATTTTAAGAGTTTCATGGCTAATACGATCGGGACTATCCATGAGATATTAAGCTCTTCACAATGACGTTACCTGACTAGCGAGGTAAACCCAGCAGATTATGCATAAGGATGTCTCAGTCCCAGTGAAGATGTAAAGGTCAAGCACTGGATACATGGACCAAGATTTCTTTATGAGAACGAAATAAGATGACCTGAGTCGTCAAAATCCACTTCTAAACACCAAGAGCAATTGAAGTGGAAGAGATCGGCCGAACTATTCGAAGCCATTTTAAGCAAGGCTCAACCATTAGATTAGTTCATTCAGCACTTCTTGTAGTGGAATCGTCTTTGTTTTGTACAGCATGGCTAATTCGCTTCATGCACTACCAACGATTTCTTGTTTTAAAAAGTGATAAAGAAGATCTCACCCATTCCGGTGGTTTAGTTAATGGGGCCGGAGCTGCACGTCTTACTGTCGTAGAAATGGAGCAGGCTAAAGTAATCCACTTGCGACATGTCCAACCACAGTATTTTCCACTGGAAGTGAAGAATTTCCAATGTTCGTCTAGAGTTATCTTAATCGCGTTGCTGCTCTTCGAAGGAAATGATAGCTTCTTGAGAGTTGGTGGTAGATCAGAAAAATCGGATCTTCACTTCAACGCAAAGCTCACCCTATCATCGTTTGGAAGAAACATGGTAGTGTGGACTGCACTATCAAACATGTCCATGAGAAAAACAGGCACATGGGGGTTCGAGTTGTTGTCGCTGCAGTTCAAAAAAATTTAGGATAATCAAAGGCAGTTTGAGGATTCGTTGGATTGTCTTCTTAAGTTTCCATTGCCACACACATTACTCTCGATAGAAGATCTTCCTTTAGCACGTCTCGTCGATTCTGAGTACACAATTTCAGCGTCGGCAGTGCGATTATCCGTCTAGAAATAAGAGCTGTTCACATAAAAGTTTCAAATACCCTACACTGAGTCGTTCCTTTGTTCCTTTACTCGATTTACCGCACGAAGAGTTTCTTCAAAAGACATACATAACGACGACAGGACTACTTTTGTGGGATGAAATGCAATCTTAAAAGAGGAGTTTGAGAAATTAAGATGTGAAGAGTCACAAAAGAAGATTTGTAAGCGGTTGTTGCAGGAGAAGACGACCAGGCACTTTAATCCGCCAATAGCAAGTCACACAGGTGGAGTTTTGGGACAATATGATATTATCAATCCGTAAGATTCTGACAGCGTTAGTCAGTGAGCAGATAATTGACAACGGCACTTTAAGAACGTTCCTAACTGAAGTAGAAAGAATTCTCCACGATCGACCTCTTCTTCTCTATTGTGGCACAGGCCTTGATGAGTCAGATGCTTTGAAGCCTAGCAAGCTGTTGCTGTTGTGTTCCAATATGCGTGCCGCACCTAAAGTGTTTGTGGATGGCGATCATTACAGCCGGCTTTAGAGACAAGTACAGCTGTTAGCTAATGCACTTTGGAAGCGTCGGATTGCTGAGTACATTCCGATACTCCATAAAAGACGGAGGTGACTGAAGCAAGTAGGTAACTTAAAACTCAATGATCTCGTCCTGATGGTAGATAAAGATTATTCACTAGCATGTTGGCCGATGGCTATAGTGACAGAGGTGAACCCAGATGAAAATAAAATAGTACGACGAGTGACGTTACGAACCATAAATGCAACCTATCGTAGAAGTATTCACCAACTATGTCTCTTGGAGGAAGGCGAAAAATTCGGGGGTGAAATGTAAAGATGTTTGTCTTATCGAGTTTTGTTAGTGCTATAAGTACAGATATTTATGGTAACGATCTTATTCGATTGGGGCCTGTGTTAGATCTGTTGCCTCAATCGGGTGGCCGCCCGTGTCCAGACGCTTTTTAAATGTGGGTAATGTCATCAATTTGGCAAATTACTTCAGTTTGAATGTTTAGTACCTAACTACCACGAAGATCATTTATGGAATGCAAAAAATGGTTGCTTTGTAGGACGAGAGATGGCAAGATGATTTAGGGGAAACAACTTGTGTTTTCCCCATGGTAGACGCTACTTTCAATATCATTAATGAAAGAAACACAATGAAACGCTTGCGCTGATTGGTGCATAGCTGAGTTTGCAATGACCTGTGCAAACCGATATGAGCTTGATCAAACAAATTAATTAAATAATTAATCGAATAAATGTTAAAGGAAAAATAAAAACATTTGTTTTAAATTATCTGTTTCGCATTTTTGCTATTTTATGAAAGAAATAGAAGATGTCGTTTTTGTCTTTCCATTGGCTCATGCAAACCTTGCACTGATCTCCTCTCGCGTTCTCTAAAACGTCTCCTAGATTTGAATGAGCCAACGCAGACACAGTAAACATCATTTACTTCTTAAATGCTTAAAAAAATAATTATTTCTTTATGATTCTAGGATTTGGAAAATTATGAACAAAATCAGAACATATCGACAAAAATGTCGCAGTCAGAAGCAGAAATTAAATTATTCAAGGAAAGAAAAATGGAAGAGATTCCAATGGCTTAACCAATGGCTTAAATCCTTTTTTGACTTCACATTCATAAAAATTGAAGTTGAGAAAAATATCGTTAGATCGATGACAAATTGACTTATATATATTGACTTATATAGCCTGGATACATTACAATTGTATTGAACAAAAAAGAATGAGCATATTTTAACGCTAGTGTGATGTCCACACTTGTTAAATAAGAAGATATATTTGAAATCAAGTCTTTATCCAAGTACTTTTTTGCTTTTTCATTGAAAAACTTTTGCAGAAATGTAGAGGTTTTATTTAAATTGTTGTGTACTTTTTGATTAGAACCAAGGGCAGAAGAATGTAGGGCTAAGGGGCTGCTCACCAATAATTAAAATGGGGGTGCTAAGCCCCACCCCCCCACACACAAATATTCCATTGTAACAAAGAGCTTTTCAATATTCTTCCCAAAACAAGTCCTTGTTTGACAGGGGGAATACATATTAGATTCTCTCATACTGTCTTTCTCATAGAGAATGAAGTATTTAATGGACAGTATTTAATTTTCCTGAATCTCTGACTAAAATTTTGCTCACGGGATAAGAATGACACCCCTACCAAGACTTTTTTTGTTATTCAGACCCCACACAAAACCAAACATCTTCTACTGCCAATGTCTAGAACACACTGTTATGATATCATATAAAGATGGTCAATAACCAAGTTGTAAATATTCTGCTAATTATAACATGTTGCAATGAAAAGTAAAGCCTCAATTACATAAGAGAAGCTTTCAAAAGACAATATTCTGGTTTCTATGGAGGGCCCTTTAAATTTTGTCAAATATATTACAATTGAAAATATGATAACAAAAATTCTATACATCCAAAATAGTATTTAAATGTTTACTTTACTGAAACTAAAATGACAGCACAATATATTCATAACACAAAGAATAAGTCCACTGAACTTCAGTGACTGGACATCAAACAATCCCATTTATAAAATCAAAGACTTCAGTGACAGTAAACAATTTCCCCATTTGCTTCACACTGAAGACCATTTAGAAAATGCAATTATGCATTTCAACCCATGTATACTTTTAGACAAACACGGTATGCATGTTTCTATGTATAGAGTATTTTTGTGTGTTGTTTGATTTTAGTATTTTATTGAAATGTATTTACAACTGAAATACCAGCAGCTAGGGCCAGAATATGACACTGTATCTACTTCATTTACCAGACAAAATCTTAAGTTCAAAGCAGTTTTGGGTAAAACAAACATGATAGAAACTTGAAATTAGTGTCAAATCCTAAATCTGGCAGAAAAGCTCTTAAATTTAGATCTCACGATACAGCATTTGGGTTGAATATAAGTTTTTTAATATTTAATATTGTGCGCCTTTAAGATCGACGCCTAAGGACAAAATGGTAATTAATGATTATGAAATAACGCGCGAATTTCGAAGATGTCAGATTAGTCACGTGAGGCCGTGAGATTACATGAAGGAGGTATTTTGGTATTAATTTTCTCGAAGCGTTTTTCTCTTTGCTCCAATGAAATGTAAAATAATATTCAAACCTGTATTAAGCGGTCCTGCATTAAGTGGACACCCTGTATCAAACGGACACTTTAGGCCGAAGACCATTGTGCTCAAAAACATTACTTTCCTGCACACCTCTCAAAACTAAAATTCCCTGCACACCTCATAGTGTTATAGAGAATAATGAAGTAATCAATGGTTCTCAAACCACTAACACACCAGTGTGGATACCACTAACCACAATTATGAAAATGGATGAAATGCTTTTCTTGATAGCATATAAAACATCCCAATATAAAAATGCTCGACGGCGTCTCATTCCCCATACTTCGCCAGTTGATAGCACTTCCCACCTTACGAGGGAGCTTTAGTATTCATAAGCGAAAATTTAGTATTCGAGTTTTAAGCGAAATATAGAGTGCAGCATTTACAAAAACTAAGCTATAAAATGATATATGACAAAACTGTTTACTGTTTCTTACAATGTTTTCCACGTAAAATTTATCAAAAGAATAAAAAAATGTGTATCAATAAAAATATAACACACATCATAATGATCATAAAGTTAAAATTTGTATTGTCGTTTTATAAAATATTACTGCGTTAAGATTTTCTTTAATGTTTGTCGACATATTCATTTCACTACACACATATTCAAAGCTTGCTTTTCATCTCCAACAAAATTGTAAAACGAAAGTTTTTCTTTTATTTTACGTATAATTTTACACATTAATGAATGCCAGTTCCAATGTTGAAAAGTGCACACGCGCGGTGACGTTAGAGTGTCGTGTCCAAAAGGTGCAGTGATGACATCAAATAATATCTATATGCCATATGTTTTTAAAGATAAACTTTAAGTGGAATTCAAAAAGGCATTATTTCAAAGTGGGATATTAATTGTCATTGTTTGGTTGCATAGGAGGCATACAGCACGCAAAAATAAAGGAAGTGTCGAAAAAAAGCTCTAGGTTTTTGGATTGCTGTTGCGGTAGATCAGGTAGACTTAAGTTCGACATGAAAGTAACTTGACATGTTGTTTAAACTTCGTATAACACATGATTAAAGAGGAGCTATAAGCTATCAGACTGTTTTATTTTATTTTTTTACTCATAAAAGATCAGTTGATTTTTTATGCTTTAGCAAATTTTTTGTAGTTGTACCTAAAAAGGGTTTTAACAAATGAATACAAGATAAAACTTGGAAACAGAACAATATTGACCATATTTTTCAATACCTGTCCTTGTCCATGAGAAAACTGTATTGAATGAGTCAATACATTTAGACAGGGGCTAGGTATAGTAAAGTAGAGTTGACACATGAACTTTTTCTTTTACGGTTGTTGCTGTGAATTTTTTTTCATAAATTGTTTTAATATCAAATTTAACATGACTTTCTCCTTGATTTTTCGATTTAGATTGTTTCTCTTTCATCGGTCTTGTTATTTTATTGTACGAGCATTTTCTCGACTAAGAAATATTTAATGTAATTTATAAACATATCACAGCTTGTCTACATCACGCATGATTTTTTGTTTGTGAGCATAATCCACCTGAAGTGTGTTTGACAACTAATTATTTTAAATAATCTTTTTAAAAAATCTAATTCCTTTTCCTCCAATATTTTTCGCTATAAAAGCTTTTGTTTTCATTTTGAACTCAATGTTGAGTTGAAGTATTTTGGAACTGGCTTAAAACTTAACATTCGCATCAGTAAACGCCAGATATAATCGATTAACTGTGCATAATTTTACAATCGTTCATATTTTAGTATTGCTCCAAAGTACTTTACGTTTATACAGCTGTGCATAGTGTAAACATCCATTTCAAAGTCTTCGAAAATAATGAAAGTATACGTCACACTGTGGCCACTTAAAAATACCCAAAATGTTAAATATAATGTAAAACATGTTCAGTTGAAAGACGTCAGAATACAAAGTTTAGTGACTACATCAATTAAGTTTAATTTTGTCATGACGGTTTGAATAGCCATACTGTGTCTCATACAACGAGGCTTGTTCAAAGAAAAACATAAATCTAAAGCAGTTGAAAAAGTCGAACTACTGTGTAGTGTGGTTTAGGAGCTTTAATTGCTTTCTTGGACAAGTTAACGAAAAGTTAGACATAGCGCAATGTTTTCTGTTACCTTATAATAATAGCTTCGTCTTCGGTGATGTAGGTAAAACATTAATTGGAGGGGCGGGAGGTATATTCAAATATTCAAATATTCATTTGCACACGATTGAGTTTTCTTGAAAGTGACTCTGCTTTTAAAACACAACTCAATTTTTGAAGCTTTTCAGCTCCATTAATTTCATGACAGTATGATTCACATTACCAAAATGATAGAAAAATTTTGCATAAACACGTTAATTTTTTTGAAATATGGTGTTTTAATCTGTTAAATGAAACACATTATTATTACATAAGCAAATCCATTGATCAATGAGAAAACAGGATAGTGCACATTGGTTTTTCGAGAAGTCTTGCATACTGTAATTATTAGATTTGATATTAGTCCAATATATTTTTATAGGAATTTTCTGTGAATAAAAAAGGTTAAGAACATCGATAAAGGCATAAAGGAGGAAAATATTTTTGGTGATCATGTCTGGTAGCGTTGCCAAACAGGGTTGCGTAACTTTCTACCCCTTTGAGAATTACATAATGCATTGTTCTAGAGAATTTCAAAAGTTAGATAACTTTTTGCAAAGTAATTTCAAGGAGATAATTATTATTTTCGCATGAATTTTCCCAAAACTGATAACTAAAGATTGTCGCTTAAAAGACTTATCTTAGTGACACGATTTATTTGTGAATAATTATTTGCTCTCACACATTAGTGAAACATGTTTTTAATCACTGCCTTATGATTAAATTTTTTTTCATTTTTTATTTTTTTCAATGTTGGTGGGTACCATATTTCTAAAGAACCTGAAAGATGACGCTCATGTGTGATAAATTTGGAGTGTTGATGTTGTATTTTGTGTTGGTTGAGAGTCGTGTGAGTACATCCAAAATTTCAAGTTGTCTTAAAAAAAGGAAGGGTGAGTAATAATCCAGAATTCTTTAAGGGTTTTTGATCATTTGCCAAAAAATAATGAATGAAATAACATTTCTAAAGAAAATTAATGATGAAGTTAAGTCTTAGTCTTTGTTGTAACTTATTGAGAATTCCTTTTTACTATTATGCAGTATAACAGCTGAATATTTGCATCGACAAGATGTTTGATGTCCTTTTGAGTTCCTCCAACTAGCATGCACTTTGCAAATACTGAGATTTTCATTTAAGTTAGCTGCTAAAGTGGTTAACTTTAAAATAATCAAATCACACCAAAACATAATTTAAAAAAAACCGATTCAGTGGCATCGTCAGGTCTTCAAACAGAAAGGGGAACGATGTAAAGGCTAAACGTGTAAAAGCACGAGCGTTGTTAGGGGGAATACACGTTTAAAATTTCTTATCCTTAAAATGCTATTTTGTAGATAAAGTTTTAAGGAAGTTTTCTGAAAATTTAAAAGCCCAACATCAATGATTTCTGTTAAGAAAAAAAAAGTTTTCATAGGGAAAAATTCTACTCTAGGCTAATCTAAATGTGTCGACAAGGTTATAAAAAAGTTTTATCCGCAATATATCTGTTTTTAGTATTTCCTTTGATATGTTCCCATTTCTTGGAAACAACTACGTGCTTAGCTGTTTAGAATTTGCATAATTGTACACCCACCCACCCCCACTCCTCAAAAAATTTTGCTTTTAATTGAAAATTCTTAAATTTGCTATAAGAATTACTGGGCAAACACATTCTCCCAGTTTCCTTCACGGCAATAACATACACTGAAGCAATCAATTCAACAGACAATAATTAGCCAAAAAGATCTTAGCATGTATATCATGATGTATGATATGGAAACAGACCTTATGACTTTCGCAGTTTTTACACAACTAATCAACTAATCAATAAGCCCGTGACCTAAGCAATAACCATAAATGTACTATTTCTACACATATCACTACAACAATATTTATCAATTGTTCAAACTGTCCTTATATATATATATAAAAATCACTGGATTAAATCCCTGATTTTTATATATACTATAAAAATCAGGGATTTAATCCAGTGATTTTTCTCAACACCACTATATATATATATATATATAAGTTTGAAAATTTGTAATCCAGGAATTTAATACATAAAAGATAAGTTTCTCCTGATTTTAGTGATTTTTATTGAGCTTTCGACTCGTTTCTTTCTAGCCTTCATCAGAATGAGGATGTTTATTTGTTTTTTTATTTATATATATATATATATATATACAAAGTGTATAAACAATGTGCCCTCCCGGCTATCACCAAAGTGCAATGGTGACTCCTGCACTTGGGACACAGGACGTACGGTTACACATTGTATGGATTGTATTGTAGAGTCACCAGAGCGCTCAAACCTATATAGGTGAGCAATGCATAAAGCGAATGCGGTGAACGTCTCGAAGACTCTCTACGCAATCCGAGAGCGCTCAAACTGCGCAAGCATAGCGAGCGTATTATACAAAGTGTATAAACAATGTGCCCTCCCGGCTATCACCAAAGTGCAATGGTGACTCCTGCACTTGGGACACAGGACGACACGTATATATATATATGTAGTGGTGTTGAGAAAAATCACTGGATTAAATCCCTGAAGAGTGAGCAGTCACGAAACAGGCTTGTCGGGATGAATCTGTAGTTTTGTGATTTTTCTCAACACCACTACACATATTTACGCTCTGCTCTCGGGCATCTAGCACTGTTTTATACGGAAAATCATAAATTATAAACTTCCTATATATATATATATATATATATATATAATGAAATAAAATGGTTAAGTGTTTGCTGTCGCTACTTGGAGTTTCACGCCGTGGGGCAATCTTCAGGCAAGTGCAGTTGCTTATCTTACGCTCTCCTATTATATAGGATATTGAGCGCTCTTTTATCCAAGAATATTCTCCATAATATATATATATATACTATATCTTTCATTGAAAGTGACTCAGTACTATTTTTATGAATGTTTTCTCTCAATTTCAATTTACCGTTATCTGCGATGAAAATTTACGAAAATTGCATCTTTGAACAAATAATTTACGCTAAATTTGTGTTGTTTTTCTCAATTTTATCAGGGAGAGCGATACCAATATACATACTTCCTGGTGAATGGGTTATGTTTAATTGCAGTGTAAATCACAACGATTTAAATCGAGAAATTTTACATGTTGACAACAACCAAATAAAAATATTAAGCAAAAATGTTTTCAATGTTACAAACTTGACAAAATCAGATATATACACCTGCAACCGTTGCCAAGTGCGCTACAATGTCATGTCATGGTTCAATCAGGTAAGACGACTCAATATGATAAATGATATCCCAAATTACTCTTAACCCAGTTAATAGTTTTTGCTTTAACAAAAAAATTTTGATGAAATTTCATTCGACTTCTCAATTTATTTTTTTGACTTGATCGTTGTTTCGTGAAACTACTCAAGCCTGACATTGAATCACTGTTTTGTATATTCCAGAAACTCCATCCTATCAAGTACCTTTAATCACAAAAGAACCAGACAAAACAATATATGATTACAAGGAACGTGTTACATTGAATTGCAAGCTTATTGGCCCTTCATATTTAATAGCAATTTATTACAGAATATCATGGAAAAGAAATGGTAAGACAGAAATGGAATGCAAAAGAGACTGCAAGTTGCCAATTAACATAACACCTGAAAGCGTAGGAATCTACGAGTGCTCAATTGAAAGAAAACCCGTTCACTACAAATCTTCTCAGAAAGTTACGATAAAACTCAAAGGTAAATTAATTAGTTATTTTGTCTAAATTAATTTCCCATCGTTTGTAATTTTTGGAAATTTAAATCACTGTTCAAATACACTACATGTCACATTATGTATATACCATGCAAATGAAAGTAAATTGGTATATACAAATTGTATACAATTTCATATTTCTGTCATGTTCGCTACACTGTGTTTCCTCACAAGAAAGCCATCTTCAAGAGATGAATCAATCATCTCTTATATCAGGTTGTTCTTTTTAATGTATGTAATGACGTAGCTAAATTTTACAATTGTATTTATATTTATCAGTAGGCATCTGGGGGAAAAAACTGATCTCTTACTGAATGTTTTCATTTGAAATAAAAGGGGTTGTTTTTCTTGAGCGTGCAAGATAAAGAAACGTGAGTCAGCAGAGTTGGGTGGGTTGCAAGTAAGAACTCTTCATTTCATGCCGTATAAGGTCAAACATTCTCTTTTAATTTCCGGAAATAATTTAACAACTCTGTTTCAATATAACACCTGACCGACTTGGTTGGATATTAGTTGATTCGCCTGATGATTTTGACGGAAGGAATTTGACGTTTCTACAACGTAAAGTCTTATCCTGCTGCCGACCATTTTTGGTGGGGTTTAAAATATGATGGATCCAACGAGCAGATTGTAACAAGTTGTTCTGCGGCTGAGCAACATTGCCAATATCATGACGGAAAAAAATTACAAGAAACAAATTTGAAGTAAAGTCTGTCAGATTCCCTGATGATAATATAACCTACATGATCAATGTAAGCAATATGAAGGGATATGAGATCAAGAATATTTCAATACAAATTCTTGATTAGTCCTGTTCGAAAAAGTATTTGAGGTAAATGAAATTAAAATTTTAGGGTGTGTTTTAGTTTTTTAAATTCAGTTTTTTAAATTTTTAGTTAAGCCTAGCATTGAAATTCGAAACGAAAATATAGTTTTGAAGAAGGGATTTTCGGTGTTGAAATGTACATTAAACCAGAGACATTAAACAAAAGAAGTAACCTTCAAATGGTTCATCTGTATATCTGATACTTGCTACGACGACAAGCATTGGAAATACATTTCATACAGCTATTCTTTAAAAGTACAGAATGAGGGCAGGTACCGCTGCAGTGCATGCAATACAGGTGGAACAGCTATATCGCCAACAATAAACGTCGTCAGGGATATTTCAACAAAAACTAATGTTGTCAAAAACAACAATCACACAGGCAAGTCTTCTTTATCATTGTCGCAGAATTTGAGGTCGTCCAACAATATAATCTGCACTATGACTTTTTTTAATGACTGTGTTTTACTGACAAAGAATAAGCAAATCGCAACATTTTGTTCGACCATATTAAAAAATCTACAATCTAAGCTTTTCATCAGTCACAACTGATCACCAATACCTAATTGCACTCCAACCTACATTCTATAACCATATTTATAATTATTTGTGTATAAAATTAAATATCATCTTACATCAATCATTGGAAAATATATTGTTGTTGTTTTTATCTTTACTAAAGAAGCTACATGCAAAAATCGCTTAAATAAAAGCATGTATTAACGTACTTATGCTTATATTTACCACAACCCCCGATGATCATGAAATTGATCTCATATATCAATCTTGCTTTTTGTTGACAGCTTGCAGATTATATTTTTAGGTCGCTGAATTTGTCTATAAGCAGTAATATTTGCAAGATAAAAGTTGCAACTTTTCAACAGCATTAAAAACTATTTTTTTACAAAACTTCAGTACTCTCGAAATGAATGATTCATACACGTAACTCAGCCAGGAAGTATTTTTTCTATTTATGTAGTAAACATTGCCAATATACAACAGTCGACAAAGATAATGTTGATAGTTGTCATATCTACTGGCGTCCTCACATTCGTCATTTTGGCGATCACATCTTATGTATTTTACAAAAGGAAAAATATTCAGGTTGAGGACAGCTTCAAAATGTTTAGCCCACCTATGCAAGATCTTTTCCTTCTCGGTAATGAGTGTAGACTCATCTGAGCTCAAGAGAGTGGAATTTCCTGACGGTCGAGGTCCATATATGGTGTTTAGAGCTTCATAGAACCGCTTTGTATCATTTCTGTCAGCATAGGCTTGGATTTCATCAGCCTTGGCACTGAGCCAGAAATATCTCATCACCCGAAGCTTCCTCTGAACTTTTCTCCGTGCACTGGCAAGGGCGTTCTTCTTGTAGACTGAAGTTGGATCATTTTGGTAAGCACGATGAAGTCTGTGCTTTTTATCAAGTAGGGCCTGAATCTCATCATCATTCTCATCAAAGCAATCATGCTGATGTCAGGTAGGGTAGCCCAACACTTGCACTGCAGTTGAGTGAACTGTGCCCTAAAGGATTCCCAGTCTTCTTCGACGTTACCTCCAGGATTGAAGTTGGCAATTTGGGATTCTAGGTCTGTGGACAGAGCTGCACTTGTTTGATGGTTTTTCAGCTTGGCAACATTTATCCTCTTTTTAGTCATGCATCCCTGTGGACGTCCCTTTGGTTTGCTGCGGATGTTCATTTTAGAGATGATGAGTCTGTTGTCGATCCTTCACTCTGCACCACAAATGGCCTTGGTAATTCTGACATCCTGCCTGTTTTTCTTCCTGACAATGATGTAGTTGATGAGATGCCAGTGTTTCGACCGGGGGTGCATCCATGATGTTTTGTTCCGGTTGGGCAGCAGGAATATTGTGTTGGTTATAAGGAGACCATACGATGAGCATAACTCCAACAGGCGCAGGCCATTGCTGTTGCACTTGCCTACCCCACTCTTTCCAATGACTCCATCCCAGGCGGCAGAATCACGGCCTACCTTTGCAATAAAATCCCCAAGTAGGATCAACTTATCAGTACTGCACATGGATGAAGAGGCTACCTCTTCCATTACAGATTCCTAATCAGGTTTAAGCGAGTTTTGCTGGACGCTAACATTATAATTACATCCCTCTCCAATCCTACTTCTCCTGCAGTATCTACGTGGTTATTAGTTTCTGTCCTGCTTCTGTGTGACAAACCATAATGCGAGGCATTCTTTTATAAGCACATTTTGTAGATTTGCTTCAGACAAGGCATAACTGAACGCTGCATTTTATATGTGGACCGTTATGTTTAAGGAATAGTTGACTTAAAATTCCAGGTGAAGATGTAGAAATTATTTTTGATGCTAATATGACTCTGTAGATGACATTGACAATGAAGCATTACAAAAGATGTTTAACATATACTGCATTGTTTTGAGTACATATCTGTTTGTATTTACTGATTTCTTGACGTTAATCACACTGCCTTGATAGCTTGTTTGACTGATAAGCTTTTCTGCAACCACACTTTCGGTTTTGTGGGTAATGTAGACCTTCATCAAAAAAATACTATAACTGGATTGTAAAGAAATGCTTCGATGTCTACAACTATGTTTTTCTTTAGCAACAATAATTTCTTTGAGGTATTATGTAATTGACGTCAATGTTCAACACTTTCATGGATCTATGTATACGTGTATTTTGCTTGACGCTTCTTTATATGTGCAGCTGTGCGTATTTTGAATTATTCACAAAACGTGCAAAATATTTAAAAACAGACGCAATTGCAAATGCAAATTGCGATACAATAATAAACACATGACGGACAAGAAAAAATTACGAGAAACAAGTTCGAAGTAAAGTCTGTCAGATTCCCTGATGACAGTTTAACCTATCAGATAAACTCTAGCAATGAGAAAGGATATGAGATTTAAGAAGATTTCAATAAAAAAACTAGGTCAGTCCTGTTTGATTTACAAAAAAAACAGAAATTTTAGTGTAAAAAACATTTGCATACAAACGAAAGGCAAATAAATGGCACTTGTACATTATGCGCCCTTGTGCACCAAGCAAAACTCAGATTAGAAGCTCAACTTTTAATTCAATAACTGTTTCGACATTCCAAAGAAAAAATACCAAAAAAACATAGCTATTTAGGTTGTTTTTAAATGTATCATACTCAAAGATTCAGCTTCTCAGAATTGACTCATGCATAATAAAAGGATCACTTTCAATTTTTACATTTGTTTTTTCAGTTGCACCTAAAATTTACATTAAAGACACAAAAAGATTTTTAAAGAAAGGATTTTCGGTCCTAAACTGTACGTTAACGCAGAAATATGTCCCACAAGAAGTAACCTTCAAATGGTACATTTGCCAATCTGATATCTGTGATGAAGATATGAACGAGAGAAAATATATTTTACCCAACTATTCTTTAACAGTAAAGATAGAGGGCAGGTATCGCTGTACTGCCAACAATAGCGGTGGAATAGATACGTCATCAATAATATCAGTTGTCAAAGAATCCAAACAAACAGGTATGTTTTCTCTTGTTAATAACTTGCAGAATATTTTAATTTTGTCATTGAAAGTAGTGCATTGGCAGAACTAACTTACCTAGACAATCGGAGAATGTTAGACAATCAGACAATTAAAGAATGTATTAATGCAAAGTTATATTTTATAAGTGAAGTACATTGTCAGGCAAAGCTAGCCTTAAAACATTTCGGGGGATGGATTGTTTATATTGCCAAACTTTTTTTTCTTAATTTGTGTGGGCCACACAGGGTTACCAAAATCAACTGTCCTCCGAAATCCCGCATTTTTGCTTAGGACTGCATAATTGGGCAGAAAGGTGGAAAGGGTTGGTTTTTCTAGATTGACCAGTTCTGTTCAAAAGCATCCACTGCCAGAGCTAAAGGATCTGGTCTCAAACTGTAAAAGAGAAGCAGTTGAGTGTTCAACCTGTCCGCAAAAAGATCTAACGCACAAGGCCACCGAATACGCATTAAAGCAAGAAAAATCTCGTTACATAGTGCCAAGTATTCTATCCGTTGAAATACCGAGACTACCAATCTGCAAATACGTTTACCGGACCAGGTAGATGTTCTGCACTGAGATGAATATTGCGATTTGACGCCCATTCCCATAAGGCCAGAGTCAAGTTGGAAAGAACAAGTAAGCACGTTCACCCTACGCAGTTTCTAAATGCCGCAGCTGAAGTGTGTCCATGCGAGCCCTCCCATGGACACATAATTGACCCTTTGTGAAGCTTATCGCCGCAAAGGAAACCACAAAAAATTCTAAACAATTTGATAATAATCTTTACGGCAGTGTACTAGGCACAATGCGATGCATCGCCTACTAATGCTATAACCTGGGAAGCCAGGCGAATAACAACTGCTGTATACAAACCAGCGCATTCCTCTAGGCTATTAGAGCCGAATGTCATAGTTTTGGTTAAGAGCAAGAGGGTGAAACACCCGGCCAGCAAAGTTAAACTAGCGACGGTCAAGAGCTGCGTTAAACTGGCGCCATTCCACCTCAAGAATTTTTTGTTAAACGAGTCTACTTTTTGCATTCATATTCGCATGAAGCACTATTGCTACTTCTTTAATCAGCTTTCCTTTCGATTTTAGAGAAGACCCGAAAAGCAACCCTGGAGCCAGTTACACGAAGCCTGGATAGCGTTATACCGGACACTTAACCTGCAAAGACGCCTCAGTGGCGCTAGATCAAGGGCTGGGGCTTTCCCCTTCTTCAGTGGAACCAGCTCCGAAGCCACGACAAAAAAACAGTAAAAAACTCAACGTTGTTATAAAATGATACCTAGCGCAATAATGGCGCGCTAAACGAAACATACTTTTTTGCATAGTTTGCAAGTGTTAGTTACAAATGCAATTATGTGTATGCTAACTATACAACAATCCACTTTATTTTAGGATTTGGAAGATAATGAAAAAAATAAGAAAATTAGAAAAGTCACTGAAAGTTTCGAAGATGGAGGCAGAAATTCGATTTTTCAATGGAAGTAAAGTGGAAAAGATTCCAATGACTTAATTTACTTTACGTAGTAAAAATTCCCAACACTAGATTTATCTACAAAACTATCCTAACACTGCAATATATAAGAGATGGAAGTTTTATGAAAATTTTTTAATAGCTTATAAGCATTATCATGCAAAAATGAAATTTAAATAATTGCGTGTGCGATAGTTAATTTAATTTTATGTTATGAGCAACAAACCCATAGAAGATCTCAATTTTACATTGCACGTTCTATCCTTTCCTTAATCAAGTAGCATTTGCAAAGCCAATAACTCTCAATGGCAAAAACTTTTTCCCTACCAAAAATTTTAATAAATATACATATTGTTGGTCATCAAGGGAAAATATTCATTCATTTATGCGCAATAGATACTGCAAAGTACCTTTAATTGCACAAACGCATCTGAATGAGTCACGCCTTCATGTAGAAATTTGGCATATTCATAAGCTTTCAATTGCAGAGAGTGGCATTCAATGCGAAAAAAATACATTCAAAAGTGTGAAATATCAATGATTTAGAACCCAATCCGCTAGATGTCTAAGTACCGAGTAAATGTTAGGCAAGGACGCCATCCTGAAAGGTGGCAAAAAGCAAAATTCAAAATGAAAAATAATTTATAAGAAGGTTTAAAAACCCAATTCTCTCAAACATTTTAAAAATTAAACCTAGATTATCAACTTTGCAGCTGTATATCAACACATGAAAAGTATCGTCTGTTTTGACACCTTTCAAGATGGCGGCTTCTCTCACTGGTCTCACTCGTTACTATAGAATTTTGGAGGAGTTAGATAACTAGTAGATTGGGTTCTAGTCAGTGGAAATACATTAAATACAACTGTTGGAATAGTCATTCACCCCGATCGACAAGCATTATTGAAAATACAACACACATTTGCCTATTTATTCATAAATAAGTAACTGATTGTTATATTTCTCTATTGATTCTCAATTGGCGTAAATGACCATTTCAACACTTCTAATGAATGCATCTTCACATTCAGGAATGTATATATTTTGCATTTGAATGCCTATTAGTGCAATTATATGCTTATGGACATGCAGAATTTCTACATGAATGTGTGTTCGTTCAAATGCGTGCATGTCATTAGTGACCAGAAAAATGTGTATAATAGAAACCATACTACAAACATCATCTTGGAGACTCAAGATTCGAGTTACAATTTATTGCCTATATGATTGAAAATCTCCTAAAACTGCAATGGAATTTTTTTTAACATGTTTGCATGCTTACGTCTTAAATTATTAAAGTTTTAGTGACATGTAAATTAGAGAATTCATGTTCTGTCTTGTGTTCAACATTTGAGAAAACTTTGAGTTTCCAACTTTATCATGCATAAAAGCAGATAGTGCGTACTTCATTCAGATTAACACCTTTCAAAGTTCCTCATTAAAACCCCTTGATAGTTATCATCGAAAATCACGTCAGTTATGCTAATTGACGAACTTTCTTTTAGTAACTTGCAGGAAAGCGTATATTTACAATCTCTCTCTAGTTTTTACGATCACTAATAATAATCGTAACTAATTATCGTCGCAATGATTTTTCTGCTGAAGCACTCCTTTGAAGTTCTTTCGTAAAAGACGAGTCAGTTTGGGATTTTTTCTTCTCTGGGGAGCAGTCAGGGTGATGACTCAGCTGGGTTTTGTTTTTCATAGGAGCAGTCTCGAGGTACCATAAACCAAGATGTGTGACCGAGAGAATTGTAAATAACTCATTTAAGTTAAATTTACTTATTTCTGCAATGACTATTATATGATATAATACTGCTTTATCTGCTATTTCGCTTTCATTAGGCTCAGGCATTTCACGCTAAAGCTATAGTACGAATTTTCTTCAATTTTTTTTGGTAGAAGTAAATTACGAAGATCTTTGGCCTTCTTCTCTTTTGCTTTTCTTTGAAAAGGATTTGTCTAGCTTTCTAAAGTCGAAAACAGCGCTTTCATTTCACAACTTTACCGATATTTAACACAATTCAGTCAATATAATAAAAACCCTTACCTGAACACAATTCAAACAACATATGTAAAAAACCCTGAGCTATTTTCATGAGAACTCTTCGATATTCAGCAATTAATTAAAACTTAACTTTATCTAAGCATTTTTAATTGCATTTATTGTTTTCCCACATGACTGACTGATCCATAGGATTCTTACTAGACAAAATGGCTTATCAATTTAAACTGAAAAATTCTCTGCAATACATGCTGCCTGTGTGACAGGCTTGTGCTTGTGGCAAATTTCCTTCTCTCCCTCAATTGAAAGAACATCTTGCATCATCCAACAGAAATGCTCGCGTTTAGGAGCATAAAAGTCCATTGCTCCAGAGAGTTCCTCGAGGTTTTTCAGTAATTTTTACTATTCGTAATTCTTTCTCTCAATGCTAAACTAAGAGAGCCAATACTCTAATACCTTGTTTCTACAATGACTATTGCATAGTAAGGAGGTGCTTTATCTGCAACTTCTTTTTGATATGCTACAGCATCTCTATACTAAAGCTATGGTAAGATTTTTTTTCAATTTTTTTGGTAGAAGTAAATCACGAACATCATCTGTCGTTTTCTTCTAATTTAATAAGCAAACAAGATCATTGTAGCGTTGCTTGTTCATAGACAATTTAATGAATGCCCTAAATACCTATGTACAGCTATTGAAATACTACTCTAATAATATGAATATTTAATTCAAATATCATAATTGATTAGGGGATTAACTACACGACAATCATGTTCACCTCTTTGGAAATTGTTTGTCCAGCTTACTTGTGTACATGAGCATTGTGATCAAGAATCGCCTGTTTGGGTGCATGCTACCATTCCATTTAAACTTAAATGCTTTGGAGCATGCTTAAAAGGTAACTAAATGGCATTGCTTAGACGGGTTTCTTCAGGACTTTCAATAACTTACTATTGGTAACTATTTCTTCTAGTGCTACGTGAAGAGACCGGCTTTGAGCTAGACGAGAGATCAATTCCTTTCTGTGAACGCACCATCACAAATGATTATATATTGACTTTATCCAAGAAGTAAACTCTTCAAATGGTTTTTTTCATACCTTGATTTCTTTGTTATACCCATTTGATAATATGCCAGACACGATACTAGTACTTGATGTAGGAGAAAAAATTCTTCATTTTGACTGTAATCATCGTATACCTGAAAGTCGCACAGAGGTGTTTCTCGGATCTTCAATGTTATTTTGAATTTTTCATACTGAATAGCATTGAAAAATATCATCTCTGTGACTGTAAATAAAATTGAACTGAATACTTTTCTTTGTACTTATACTTTTAGTCCATCATGGTATATGTACCATACTTTAAGAGAATGTTAAAGCAGCTGTGACATTGTAGACCATTTAATTTTCGCAGAACGCCAATTTTTCGTATTTAAATTGTTAATGAACTCCACTTAACGCATTGAGAAGTTGACTTTGATACAAACGACACACTACAAATGAAAAAACTGTGACCGCTTGTCAACATCTGCCACAATCTCTTGTATTGTTTTCAATAAAAATACGCTGATCTCCATGTGGTTTATGCACGCGTCATGCACAATGACCTAGAACCCAATCTACTAGATATCTGACTCCGCCGAAATTGTATAGTATGGGTGAGGTAAGCCGCCATCTTGAATGGTGGCAAAACTAATTAGAAATTTAAACGAGACTTACCTGAAGTCGAAAGTTTAATTGAAATTCTATGAGTTACTGTTAAGGAACTAGGAAGTCATGTGAGATAGAGCGCGCAATATCAAGATCAGTTTTTAAAAAAATTTGCGAACGTCCACATACGTATTGGGAGGCAAGTAGTATTTAACATCATTTGAAAAGAAATAAGTTAGTAGTTGGGTGGGTGACTTCCTAGTTCCGGAACAGTAACTCATAGAATTTCAATCAAACTTCGACTTCAGGTAAGTCTCGTTTAATTTTCTAATTCTATTTCGTCACTGTTCTACGTCACTAGGAAGTCATGTGAGATTTTAAAGCAATGCGGACATGAGCAATAACTAAGAACAAAAGAATATAATTGAAATTTCACAATTCATGTCTCACAAATGGCAGAAAGTAGATCATTACCAAAGTTCTTCGCCTCAATTGGTTTATTATAAAATGTTTGAAAGTTTGTTCATTACGCCATGTAGCTGCATTCATAATAGTGTCCATAGAAATATTCAATGCGTTTGCCGCAGAAGTTGATGCAGTTCTAGTACTGTGTGCACTGTAAACCTCAGTATTTATACCAGCATCCTTTAACACGTATTTTAACCATCGGGAAATTGTCGCTAAAGTGACCAAATAATAAGGTTTTTGATAGCTTAATAGGAGATGTCTCGCACTATTTCGTATGGGTGCAGTGGCATTTAGATAATGGGACATGTAATTGAATACACATAACCCAGGCTCTGGTGGATAAGCTCGAAATTCTGAAGGAGCAGCATGCTTACCAGGCTTAGATGTTTTGAGCAATTGGTGCACATGAAAACTATTCGATCTTCTTTCTTCTCCATGTGAGAAATATCCAATGCATGAAGTGTTTGGCATCGCTGACCAGATAATAATGCTAAAAGCATTACTGTTTTTAGTGTTAATGATTTCAAATTGAGAATTTCGAAGGGTGGAGATTTCGAAGATGTTTGAATACCACTGAAACGTCCCAGGTCATGGCATATCTAGGAAGAGCTGGTCTTGCAACAAATACACCTTTAACAAACCTAGCAGCGAATGGATGAGTACCAAACGAGATGCCACTTGGTAGCATTAGGATAGTGGATAAGGCGCTCCTTGCAGTATTAATACCGCTGTGGGATAAACCTTCCTGGTAGAATTTTGTAACAAAATTAATGCCTTCTTCTACAGAGGACACGACAGGATTGATACTGTTTGCGTTGCAATATTGTCGCCAATAGTTAAGGTATGTAGAATATTGGTACCGATCCGCCAAGACTGCTTGATGATCTGAGAAGCCTCTGGTGAAATACCTCTATCAGAGAGGAGTTCCCCGATAAATGGCAAAGTAGTAGCTCCAATTTTGTATTGAAAAGGTGGATTTGATCCGGATGAGCCGGAAGAGTTAAGGTCATTCTTCCTCTAGGTAAAACAACAGGATGCGCTATTAGCATCTGCATTAAAGCTGGCCACCAACTTTGTGTTGGCCAGTGAGGGACTAAGACTAGTCCTGTGCTTTTAACTTGTACTATTTTTGTAACACTTGCAAAATTATGCTAAAAGGCGGGAACGCATAAAATGTATAATTGGCCCACGATATCGTAAAGGCGTTGACAGCTATAACATACGGGCCAGGTTGGTATG